AAAATTTCTTCACCAAGAGGGTTGTCAAGCATTGGAACAGGCTGCCCAGGGACGTGGTTGAGTCACCATCCCTGGAGGTATTTAAAAGGCCTGTAGATGTGGCGCTTAGGGACATGGTTTAGTGGTGGACTTGGCAGTGCTAGGTTAACGGTTGGACTTGATGATCTTAAGGGTCTTTTCCAACCTAAATGATTCTATGATTCTAAGTCAGGCAGCTGATACTATAAGAAATCTCTTTTACAGTCCTACAGCTAGAATTGAACTGAGATAACGCATACACACAAGTTACTTTCTAGAGAAATGGAGAGCAATTAAACATTCATCTAGCAGTAACACTTACCTGTACACCAGGGCCAGTGGCAGCTCCAAATGGTGGCCTCATCATAGGCTGCCCATACATAACTGGCTGCTGGGGCATCATAGGTACACCCGTGCCTGCTGGGGGCTGTAAATTAATGCAGTGTGAGTCGGGTTCTGGGTGAAGAAAGGAGAGTAGCGTAACAGAAGAGACTCACCATCCCAAATGCTGCTCCTGGCTGTGGGACAGGTGGAGTACCTCCTGTGGCAGGAACAGCACTTGCTGGAGGCACGGCTCCTGTCTAAAAAATGAAAAAAAAAAAAAAAAAAAAAAGCAAGAATCTCTGTAACACCAACTATCTGGAAACCGCATGGCGTCTCCAGCATTCTCAGAGTTTTTCTGGAAAGTACAACTGTTATGCAGCAGATAATACCTAACCTCAAAACTGCAATACTTCAAAGAATGAGAGTTGAATGAATCCTTACACTGATGCTTAGCTTCCCTTTTCATAAGAAAGCAAGGGTGACAGACTCCATTCATGAAGAGAATGGAGTCTATTTACTGAATACAACTCAAAATAGGCCCAAGAAAATATGTACTTTCCTCCTCCTTCTACATAGTGTAAGAAAGCATCCAAATTTCCTAATTGATACCCAACACACTTTTGCACTTGTATCACTGTATTTTAGTAAAGCTTAAGCAGATTGTAAAGCTAAGGGAAATAACTGCTATTATTAGTTTCCAATTAAAAAAAAAAAGTATTTAAGCCATGAGATTCATTTAAGTTAAAGAGTAAGTTCACATGCTTAAGCCACAATCACAACCATTACATACTTTACTAAGGAGAGTTCAGTTTATCTTGTTACGCTTTTCACTCATATGCTTAAATTAAGATTTTCATTCAAACAACACAAGAAAAAAAAAAGGTGATCTTTCACTAGGATTCAAGAAGAGAGAACTGTTAGTTTAGTAGTCTGACTGGATATACAGCACAACAAGGCCACCCCACTTACCTAGCAGAACCTACACATCATCCCTTTTGGTTCCCTTGTCTGTAACTTCCCATGCATAGAGTGTCCTTAAGGCCTTGAAAGTATCCAAGTCTCTCCTTTTCACAGAAGTATACACAATCCAAATTATTAAGAATTCTGAAGAGAGGCAGGAAGCATTCAAGGAAGGGATTTAAAAATGGTAGCAGGATTTTTAGGAATCTCATTACTGCTATCGTGTGGCCTAAGTATATTGGCACAATTTCTCAAGCTATTACAGAAGGTGTAGAGTCATGCCTGAGCCTCCACATCCTTACCGCCTACCTTGAGTCAGGTATATCCCACCGCACTTGGAGAGCAACTAGCACACTTTCAGTTCAAAGGACAGTGCACCTCTGGAGATACGCTGGAATTACTCACTGCACAGTCCACTTCTGTGAATGCTGCATTTAGTGCCCTTGGTTGATCCTTGCTTCCAGACTGAAATATGCCAGTTTCTTAGGAAACTGGAGACAAGTCAAGATAACCTGTTCCAGACTCATTAATCAGCAAACACCCTGCAGTTTCTGGCTAATAATTATGAACCTCTTTTCCAGTCTGCAAGTTTTCTGGGGAGCATTTCAATTAAAAGCTGTACTGCACTAGCAGCACAGCTGTCCCCAAACTAAAACCAACATCTGGACACTCAGGTATGGAAAGCAAGGAATAGAAAGACACAGATTAATGACATCAGGTGCAGTGATCTGACTGCAGCCAGACGAACACATTGTAGCTCAAAATCCAGTTAGGCAAATGCCAAGAAAATGGCCACACAAACTGAATCTGTTTTTGCCTCAAAGCACTAGGGTCACTCGAGGGAACGGGCTTTTATGAAATTCTGCTGATTTTAATCCAGAAGGTGAAAGGTCACAAGGAAGGGAAGAAGTGATGAAAACTTAAGTGGTTCAACAATGACGTGAAGGAAAGCTTCATTTTGGTCTCCACATTTAGTCTTCCTGCAGATCTGGTTTTCTTTGGTTTCAAAAAATACCTAAGTGCATGATTTTGAAGAAATATATATAGCACCCATGTTTCATGAAATGCTATCAAAACCACCCAGCTTTCCAGAAAGGCTAGTTACTTATCAGATGGTAAAACCACTACAAGATCAGGCTGATGACACAGAAGTTAGAAATTTCAGGTAGTACGAGTCAGATAGTTCACATCCAAGTAAAGCAAAGACAGTTTGAAGCCATTATTTTCAAGCTTACAGCACAGAAATGGTTAATCACTACTACTATATTCAACACATTGCCTGAGAATTGTCTGCTGGACAGAAAGTCCAAGAAGAGCCATGTTAGGTAGCTTCTAGCTAGTTTTAAGCCAGTGGTAATAACTGTAGCGCAGATGAGGTGCTGTTAGTATCTTCGTGTTTAGTAAGTACAATAAGAGATCAAAAAAATTCACTTACACTGTACAGTACTGCCCAGCCTTTCTATTAAGAAAAAAAGTTGACGTTACAACTAATACATTCAATGAAGTATCAAGTTCAGGGAATTCTTGTATCTTCCATAAGGTTAAGGAACAAGTTGGAACATGCTCAGAGTCACATTAACATCTGGCTGTGGCAGCAGGGAACTGAACTAGTCATGCTCCCCCTTGACAGTCCTTTGCTTCCCTTCCCAACCCAACTTTTTTCAAATGGAGGCTGTTTTATGCCCTGTGCGACTTTGATGAGATGAGGTATGATCCCTCTTCAGATTGCTCATGACCAAGTTGCTCTTGTGCCATATTTAGATTTTTAGCTCAATTCAACCCTCTTCTCTCAAAGTTAGTGCCTTCTGACACATTTTACAGCGCAATCTTAACTTTTCCAGCAGACTGCTTTACTCTGCTAAACAAGCTACCCACTTCTAATCTAACATCAGGAAAGCTTGAAAAAACAAATCTATTTATTTCCTCTCCTTCCAGTACTTCAGCTTTGGATCAATACCGTTGTCTTTTGGGCGATCAACCTGGGCCTGGTGCTGGCAAGACCTATACGGCTAACCACACGCTTGGAAATGTCCACAGGTATTAAGTGTACATGTAGAGTAACATCTTGATACATACGCTAGTGTATTTTCATTGACCTGAACTCAATGATTTATTTATGCCAGCTGTAAATCTGGTCTTAAAAACACGACTTGAAACAATCATATAATTTATACAGAAGCAAACTCTTTAGCTGAAGTAGACAGGAGCAGTGCCTACACGTATGCTTGCATAGTCTCAAAATACTGAGGTTTCAATACCAGTGGCATCGATGGATTAACCACCTACCAATGGACCACTTGGGACACCACCAGTTGACCATGTTGCAGGTGCTACTTTTGGCTGCCAGTTGGCTCCTCCTGTTAACTTTTTCTCTCCAGCATTCCACTGAAGGTCTCCCCTAATAGACAGGGAGAGAGAGAGCGCGATTATTTTCATACCCTCACAGTGAAAATGAAAACCAATGGCAGTATACATAAACGTTAGGCTTGCAGCTACATTAGTTTATGGTGTATGCAGTTTAAGTTATTAACAGAAGGATACACTTTTAGTGCCACTCAGTTTCAAGGGTTGTTAGCAGCAGACAGCAGTACACTCTATACTGAAGTCAGTTACATGGTTATGGCCTTTGTGGTGAGAATTAAAGAGAAGTTTTACTTAGTATTGACTGAAGGTAACATATTACTGCATATACCCTTGCAAAGTAGGAAGAGGGACTGCTACTGCCTATTCTACTGGGGCCAGGCAGTAGAGCTGCCTGCTAGAAGTCTTTGAAAGGTCATTTCATTGCTGGAAATCTTGCTCAGACAGTTGAAGGAGGAAAGCATTCAGTTCTGAAAAAAGGTGATAGATACAAGAGAAACAAGTCATTCATAGAATAAAAGGGCTGTTGCAAAACCAGGTTTTGTTAGAGGCTGCTCTATCCAGAATAAGATACACCATTTGAATGGAGTAGATTGAAGGAAGCTAAGTTTTGGGGATAAATCTCATGATGTGTTTATACATATCCCTCCTATCATCTCCACAGAGGCACAAAACATTTTGAATGTACACACATCATAAACTGGTCTTGCATACAGAGGAAGACTCAGCACAGAAGTAAGCAATCAGATTAAGAAGAGACATTCAAAAATAAATGCAATGCTGTAAATATTTCTTCTTGCAAAAAGAAGCTTTTCACTGCATGGAATGAACTTCTTTTCTATTTTACAAGTATTCCAATGCCTACACGATAAGCACATCCAGCGTCTGTAAAAAGATAAGAAACTATTACATATTAGCCTAGATTACTGAGGGGAGCTATACAATTTATTATCTGGACTATTCGTTCATTTTAAGTTGTTTGGAAATCAGCTATCCAATATGAAGACAGTAATTTACAGAAAAAAATTTAAGACTCAGATTAAAGCCAGCAAGTTTAAAAGCTATGTCAGGAACATTTAACCTTAATTATTCAGTGAACCTGCATAGAATAGAATACTTTTTCCAGAATTTTTCTGAACTGATTTTTTGGGGGGAAGGGGGCACATAACCAATTCATTGATTCTTAATAAACACTGAAATAGATGTAAGACTACACAGCAGAGTTGAAAACTTTTCTTTTTAAAATAAAGTTGAACTTACTTTTTTGAAGTGGTACCAGAAATTCCAAGATCTGAAAATTTTAAGAAAAAAGGAAAAAAAAAAAGAAGTAACGTGTTTAGTAAATTAAAGCATGTCAAAGTAACAGCTCATGTTTCATTGCACATGGGTTTATAGAGAGTAATAAAGTTTTGGCTGTCTTCATTTAGACAGCATCAGAGGACTGGCCACATCTACCCCTTCTTCAGGACAAACTTTTGAGGAACACTGCAGATGTCTTATACTTGAGGAAGCCATTTTTGCTCCAGAAGCAAACCAAAGTAACAATATATTCAGGTCTACTAGTGACAACACTAGTTTCTGTTCCTCATCGTACATACGGAAATAAAAGCTATTTTTCACATAGACATAAATCTGAACTTTACCTGGAAGTTTTGCACTGTTTTATCTGCTCTATCATACATGGGAACTCCAAGTAGTTTCCTCAATTACTCTTTGGAAGAAGTTTTAAGCTAAGTTTTAAAGAAAACTCTTCTCACATGACCAGTACAAGTCCTGTAAGTCACAGATTGCTGAGTTTGATTTTCTCCCCGAAACTTGGATATACCAAGTGACTTGCAGAAGAGGTTTCAAGTGATTAAGAGTCCTGCTGACTTCTAAGCATGGTAGTTTCCCCCCGCACCTAACAGAAGAGTATGCATCATAAGATCAGTTATATCTTTGCTGTGGTGTGTTTACATATACTAACAGAGTATACAATCCTCCAAAGTACAACTTCAGGAGTATTACACCTTAGCCTAGGTGGGCCTCTGTTGGGTTTTTTGGGGGGCTGCAGCTACTGATCTCTAGTTATAAAGGCTCTAGCCCTTTTACTACTATAGGAAAGAGAACATTTTTTTAGTTTAGCATTTCAAGACCATGTTTTGGAAAGTTCACTGTCTGAGAGAAGGTCTGTTCTTGGCTGTTGTGCACTCCTCACCCCACTGCTACTCCTCCTCTCATTAAGCAAGAAGTCAGCTATTTGTGTCCACCAGCTTTTCTGCTTAAATTCCACCGTGCTATCAGAAGCTTTGGACAATTTTCACCTTTCCATCTGTTATTACACAGGAGCACATCCATTAAGAGTCTGATATGCCCCTGAATGTACCTGGGACGTTCACATGTTACAAATCGTACCTACCACACAGATCCCATTATTTGACTCAGATCCTGGGCACAAAGAAGGACAAGTTACGAACCCAGACTACCAGCTATCTGAATCAGGCCTTATTCCTGCCTATAGCTTTCTTGATCTCCCCAGGGAAACAGGAGGACATTGAAGCAAGCTAAAATAGACAGGTATTTGGCTCCGTGGAAAAGTAACATAGCTGTATGTCACACCACTTAAAACCAAAATTTGTCACTTACTGCCTACTAAGTTTGCAAGAGACGAATCAAGATCACTTCCGAGGCCTTTGCTTGCTGCTGAAGCAGTGACTGTTGCTGTGGCTGAAGGTGCTACAGACTGACCAGAAGGAACCATAGTTGGCATAAGAAGATCACCTAAGCCATCAAACACTGGAAGTGAAAGGAAAGTGGGTTAGAACAGCAGCTGTGGTAAGAAAACCACTACCTGCCACTTTGCTGTTGCTCCAACAAATATAGCACAGACAACCACATCACAAGTCTTACCCAAAACACCATTTGACATTAAAAGTAATGCCAACAAGGGCATGCATGTTGTTTTACTAGACACTGAATGTACGGTAATCCTGAAAAAGCTATACCGATGAGAACTAATATGAGAGGACATGCCTAAAAGGACTTTAATGGGAGAGTTGAATCTACAGAGATACAGCACCACTTCCACGTGACACTATTTTTCTTACAGCCATCCTTAGATGTCAGATGCATACACGTTTGTCAGGAGATATTCATTTAAACATTTTTAAAATTAACGTCTTGCAAACACCAGTCAGAATTACTGTGGCAAAGGCAGTCTTATACCTTGACATGTAACGGCAACAGGATTGAAAGTTTCAAGATGTTACTATTCACTTGCAAGCAGCGGGGGATCGGGAAAACCTACTAACACCTTATGAGATCAGAAGGAACCAGAACCATCCACTCTGACAGAGCTAGCCTCCTTAGTCCGGTCATCTAACTCAGAAGTTCATTTTTTAGATCCCTTGAAGTCAAACCGCCTGGTACATCTCATGCCAGCATTCTATCTTCTGATCTGTATTTGAGGTACATGCTAATGCAAAGTCAACAGGAAGGGGTAGCATGTGCACTGGCAAGCAACCAAATAACCAAGCAGCAGTACTACTTCAACCTTTTTTTCTTGTACAGTTGCAGAACTCACCAATTTTAAGTTTGTAGCAAGGACCCAGCATGGAAAACATAGAATGGAAGAGATACAAACAAAATGATAGCAGTGATGAAAGTTTAAGCTTATAGTCAGGCAGAGAACACGATCTCAGTCTCCGTTTTGTGTACCTTCAGGTGCCATGCAAGCTCAAGAACAGCTTCAGCAGCAGCAGCAAGATGACTTGCCCATAAACTTGATTTACAGAACAGTGTTTTCCTTGAGTAATTCCTGATTCATGCAGTCAAGCACATGCAAGGATGATGTTCACACTAGTTTGTTTTTTACTGACATGGTAGAATAAAAAAATGGGTACAGAGAGCTCTTGGGCACACATCAGTCTAACCACCACCCTGAGTTCTTCCAGTGGAGAAGGAACAGGGAAATCACTGATATTGCTTGTACTCAGAGCCTAAATATGGTGTCATTAACTCATCTAACACATAAAACACATTAGAAAATCCACAGGAGGAAACCCTGTGACTCACCTGATGCATCAAACGAACTGCCAGTCGTTGGAGCTGTTGTCCCAAAAGCTGCATCAAAGTTAGGCTGTAGTAAGCTGGTTTGAGCTGGAGTAACTGGGGATGGTGATGGAGAGGGAGCAATAAAAGAACCTCCAAAGCCTTTAAAAAGCCACATAAGAGAGGTGTGGACATTAGAGTCAGTCTTGTTGGGCTATGTTTAACAAAAGCTCAATCTATAGAAGGCAGAATGATACAGACAATTCTTACTAGACCATTGTAAATAATTCAGTACTACACAAGCATCCTTGGTATGCCAGGTATGATCCAGGGAATTCAAGATTTTGTGGGAGTCACCAATAAAAACTTTAATGTTTGTTATTTAGATTTCTGCAGAGGCAGACCAACGGAGCATAGAACACAATTTTTCCAGTACTATACACTACTGTTCTAGGTAAGTAATCTCACAGGCAGAATGCAACAAACAAGAATTAGTTCAGAAAAAAGAGAACAGAGGACTAACTTGAGAAAAGCATATGATCACCCATCAACTACTTTGGAATCTCAATTCAGAAGGAAGTGTTTTACTAATCCAGTTTAGCCTCTCTCACCATCTTAAAACATCCTGGTCTCCCTCGTCAAGATGTCTTCAAGCTACCCCCCCCCCCCCCCCCATGCCAAAGCAGGATCAACAGCATCCACAAGCGAACTGCTTGTAGGCTGGAGAATCTCCATGATTAAGGTTAACGTATATATTATAAACCCTATATTTATATAAATAAACCCTACTCATGGAGATTCTCTAGTCTACAAGCAACGCATTCCCATGCTTGACTATTCTTAAAGTCCCTCCCTTGCCCTGTATATAATTCAATCTCCCTCGCAATTTAAGCTTATTTGTATTATCTATAGACTCTGGAAACTGATTAAATATGCAAAGACTCCGTCAAAATGAGAACAGACATATGACACTTTCTCAATTCTCTCTAGCCTACAAGCCACTCCTCTTATTCAATCTCTTCTTGACAGTGATGTCCAAGGCCTCTATACTACATCTTCAGTCTCTCAGCCTTGTTTTTTCCCAGCTGCCCTTGCATAGAAAGGATCAGATCTGAGCTTAGTGCTCCAACCGCGACTACGCAAATGCAGCAGGAAGAGCACTCTGCACAACCTGCAGGCTGTACATTTTTCCCCCCTATATCAGAGTAGGAAGCATATTATTTTGCCACAGCTGAGCACAAGGCAGTGACGAGTCAGTGCTCTACCACCGTCTTTAGTTTCTTTTCAGGGAATGTCCTGCCTTACAGTCTACTGTCCTTATTTGTCCAGCTAATCATTGCTGCCTATGGACAGAAGCTTGAATATGTACTCGTTTGAAATTTCTCCTTTAGATAATTTTCTCCAATTTGTAGAGACCATTTTAAGTCCTATTCTCATCCGAAAGTAAATACTGATCTTGTCATGTGGATGAAATCTCAAAAAATAAGCATGCTACTCCAACAGTCACATTGTTGAAATTAAGTACTAAATACAACTTATCAATTAAGAAGAGAATATCTATTTATATTAAACCCTTATCGTTACTTTCTGTCTTTTTACTGATATAGTTTCTACCACTCTTGTTTAAGCAGTAAACTAATTCCTTTCTTCCTCTTCTTTCTTCAGCTTTCTTTAGTTACCAGTTCACTGGGGAAGTCAGCTTTTTAAAAATGGGAAAATAAAGAAAATTCTGAAGATTTTCTAACCACTTTTTTATCCAAACTGCTTTCCATGGTCACAGGGTATATCAATTACAGCACATTATGCAGACGTCTTACAAACAGTGACAACAGCACATTTCCCAGCTATGAAATCAAGCACCTGCCAGACATTTAACTATGAGACAGGCTAGAATTCAACATAAAGGACTTGTGCTCAAATTGTGAGCAACAACTATATCAATTGTTACTGTGAGATCTCAGACGCTCTCCCCAAAAACTTTGCTTTCTCAGAGAACAAAGTAAAACACCAAACACTTAACAAATGTTGAAAGAAAGAAATTTATACACACACACTTGATGCATCAGACTTACTTACACATCAGGTGCATATTTCAGAAGAGAAGTGAGTCAGCAGTAGCTAATTGTATTCAAACCGAAACCCTCAGTAGGGAAATGAGAGTGGTGTGCCATCACTGGGTCCTGGGCACCAGGCCAGCAACTTGCTGTACCGCCAGCAGACAGGTTTTAGTTGTGGAACGCCTGGCCTATATGAACAAATACATTGGCCCCAGACACAGCTGGGAGAGGACAGAAAACTTGACTGTGCACTACAAGTCCAGGAGAACACAACCTGGTTAGAAACACCTCATAAATTACGTCCTTCAGCTGAAGCTTGCCAGATTGCTGGCAATGACCAAAACCACTTCAGATCGTAACTTAAACTGGTCCCTTCAGATACTACTGAGCAAGGGCACTGGCTGGAGCCAAGGAAGCAGGAGCGGGAAACCGAGCAGCCTGCTTTCTGCAGTCTGAAGTGAAGAGCATTTCAAAAGCCTGCGTGAGCTTTCCTGTGTTTATTAGGCCTACTTCAGGGTTCCGGCACCAACAAGCTCTTATTACCCAAATCCTAGTCCACAGCAAGCCACATGCTCACAGATGCTAACTCTGAATCTGGACAAACGCACTGCGATCAGAGATCTGCCCTCAGCTCTCCAAGGTCCATTCTTGAAGTGGGTTTGTCACGGGATAATTTAGGTTGGAAGGGACCTCTGGAAGTCAGCCTGCCCAAAGCTGGTCTAATCAAATCAGGTTGCCCAGAGATTTGCCTTGGCACTTCCAAGAGAAGAGATTTCACTGCCTCTCTGGGCGGCCTGTTGTCATATCTGACCATCCTCATGGTAAAAAAAATAAAAGTAAAAATCCAGTATTTAACTGGAATTTCCCACCCACATGCCTTTTTTCCTGTCACTGTGCACCTCCAAGAAGAACCTGGCTAATCTTCTCTGTATCCTCCAGTGAGGTAGTTTAGACACCTATAAAGCCTCCCTTTTGCCTTCTCTTTTCAAGGCTGAATGGACCCAGTCCTCAGCCTCTCCTCATATGTCATGTGCACCAGTCACCATCTCAGTGGCCCTCCACTGAACTCACTCTGGTACGTCTTGATCACCCGCATCAAGAAATTCTCTAATACATTCCAGAAGTCCCCTGGATTACCGGCACCCAGCCATATTGCCCTTCCAGCACATACTATGGTGCTTAAAGTTGCCCGTGAGTGCCAAAGCCTGTGACAGTGAGGCTTTCTCCAGCTGCCTAAAAAAAAAAAAGCTTCCTCTACTGCCTCTTCTTGATCAGGCAGTCTGTAGCAGACACCTACTATAACATCACCAGTGCTGGCCCGTCCTCTGATCCTTACCTACAAACTCTCTCCTGGTTCATCACCTGTCCTAAGGCAAAGCTCCATGTATTCAACTATCTGCAAACAAGTATTAATCTCCAAAGAATCAGACGACAAGCAGGTTGACAAGATACAGGGATGACAAAGGCAGCTGACTGCAGCAATTCCTAAAGCACTGGAGCCATCTAAAGACCCTGTGCTCAGTTAGATCCTTTCCGTGTCCTGAGTGAGAACAAGGAGCTTGGCAGCAGGGCATGACTTAATATCCATTTATAAGATTCTGTTTAGAAAGTTATGTAAGCTTTTGCAAAGCCCCATAAAGTGTCTGTTTCTCCAGCTACAGAAGAGAGTTCTCTCCAGCTTCAGGTGAAGTTTGCATGACAACTGGTCTTAATTCCATAGCTTTTAGCCTTGCGCAATTTAACAGCAACGTCAGGCACAGAATCCATAAAAATGCTTTAAGAGTTTAAGTTCCTAGTTGTCTAGGAGACCCAGAGTGAGCCTGCAGAAACAGCAGCAACCGAGTTAGATGTGTCATCCCCAACTGCCCGATTTTGAGGTTGCTTTTACTTACACAAGTAAGATTTCTTATAAGAACACGCTATTAGTTCATGTGTTCTGGGATACACATGCACACAGTTTAATTGGATAGAAAGATCTAGAAGGGAAAATGGCTAGACTATTGTATTTATCAGCATAGTTCTAGTCTCATCTGCTGAGAGGCTTAGAAGAGTATGAAAAAAATTCTACCATATTTTCTAAGCGAGCCAAGAAGAGACTAGAAACTTATTTGACAGCAGAACACTTAAGACAATGATGCATAGCAAGTATACTCGTAACATTATGCATATAAACACTTAGTACAACCAAACACTCATAAACCATGAAGGACAAGCCTTCAGCCACCATATGAATTCTGGACACTCTTAAATTTAAAACTGGATTACACTGCAGGCTGTATATCTGCCATTATCTAGGGTGAACAAATGCTTAGCAATATGCTGTAACGTTTATAGGCTCTCCGTATCTGCCAAAAAATATTCAAATCTACTTGGAGCCCTTTTGAATGTACAGTCAAAGCAAAAATAAAATAGAATTTTAAAAAAATCATTTGTTCACCCCAACTGCTTCAGGTCTGCTTGAGTATTCAGACTTATAACATCCCTTTTATAATTTAGGTTTTGATTTAATGTGACTCATCAGATTCAGAGAGCACACTGCTGAAGTTTAAGCCATCTGGAGCATAATTCCTACTGGAACTTAAGCTTAGTTACAGATAAGGACATAAAATATATTGTATTGTAATGTTTGCATAAGCAGAATCGGCTTCTGCCTGACAACATCTTTGTACCCAGTCCCCCAATAACACACATAACTGCAAATGACTGGTATGTTTCAGAATCTAATAGTTAAAGCCTGATCTCCACCTTTAAGCTATCCATAGACTAACTAATACAAAGACCTATTGAAGCAATATTAAAACAAAAGGTGGTCTTCTACCTTAAAATCATGAAGGTGCCTGTACTAAAGTTTTAGCATGCATTTACACATTATGTCCCACTTCAAGTAGCTGGCTTGCCAGCACTAGAACCGATTGAGAATGGACATATACATTATTATCATCTAGACTACTTCTACCTTCCTGCAGCACAACTAGGTGATGCCCACACTTAGAGCAGGTACTAGAAAATGTGTCCTCTTCTGAGATGGCTTCAGCGCGCAAGCACCCACTTGTACCAACTCACAGCACTTAGAGCAGATTACATACTGAGGTATCTCACTTACATTATGTATTCCTCATACAACGGAGGACCTCTCACGAGCATATAAAGGCAAAACATACACAGGGTTGGACTTCTGATACAGTGTAAGTTGGCATGAGAGACCTGCAGACATACAGACAGCAACTGACGTCAGGGCCCACCATACCTAGAGTGCTTAGCAGTTGCATAAAGGGCAGACTATCACTCCAGCTCAGAAGTAAAGTCAAAGGTGTTGTTAGTATGAAGCTAACAATCATCTTCAAAGTTCATGAAGGATAACCTACCAACTAATTCTACTGACAAATTCACCTTTCAGAAACACGGGGGAAACTAAGCCAAGTCTTCCTCAAACCAGAAATGCGTTGTTAGTTTCCTTTAAACCTGAGGAAGACATGCTGGGATCTTGTTCTCTACAAACTTCAAGCTGGGGTGGGGGGAGTCACAACTGTTTAGCACAATCACTATAGCCACTAAAATACATGGTACAGCACGAATTTTGGAGAATGGTACAAACAGAATTCAGCTGAAGCTGCTTACCTGTAGGATGCAGACTACAACAATACAGTTATTCAACCTTCGAAATAGGTGTGATAGTGACGCCACATTCAGCACTAGCACAGACCTCATCTCACCCAGTATAAGGAGAGGGTCTCTATCACTTCTATGCCCTTGTGCTCAGAAAAGCTCTCATCACCCCACTCTCCTTGGCTAAATGCAAGACTGCTACCAAGTTATTAATTCAAGCTCTTAACATTTAAGTGTGTAACCTGCCTCAACTAAATCAACCAAGAAACAAAGGTGAATTAGTAGTAAGGAATAAGTAGCATAGCCTGCAATACTGCTTAACTTAAGTACAGCTAGAGCCAGCCAAAGAAACTTTATGTATACACTCCTATTCAGTAAACAGTAGAGAAAAATAAGGCTTGTGTAGGAGGTAGGAAAATGAAGAGCATGGGAAGAAGATAATCTAGGAAGTTAACTTGTACTTCAGGACAGTGCCTCCATTATAGATCACTGTAGTTTTAATTTAAGACGTCTAAAGTACTAAGAAATCTTGTGAACAAGAATTTTATTCCACTGCAAAAGTCCACTTACACCCAAGGAACATAAGAGATTTCAAAGACCATTTCTTAGTTTTGCCTTAAAATAAGAAGTTTTTAGAAGTTCTTTATTACCGGCAAGTAGGTCTGCAGAAGCTGAAGAACTAGAAGCAGCCTGGGTTGCGGGCTGGGGTTCAGAAGCACTACTTCCAAAAGCATCTAAAGGGAATTCCAGAAAGCATCAAGAAAAAGCAAAGAGTTCAATATTAAATGCATCAATTCATCACTTATCGTAAACAAAAGATGACAAAAGGATAACCATTTCATTCATCAGAAGAAAATGAAAGTGCTTGGCCATCTTTATTGCAGAGCAGTACCATGGATGCAAAGCTCAGGTGGAAAAAAGGAGGTGCAACAAACCAGCACTTGAAAGAAATCTCTTTTCTTTTAGTTGAGCCTCTTCTCAGAAAACCCTAACAAACCACAGTGTTCTAGATGAGAGGCTTAAGCCCTTTGGAGATGAATGCATCGGATGACAGATTGGAGTAATTCCAGCCACAACCTACTTACTGACTCACATTAAGTCTTTTTAGAAGAACATTTCACTAATATTTGAAAATTCATTACTTCAAAGCAACATTCCTGTTCTACAGCACTGCTGGAGTTGGTTGTGCCCATCCTAATTTCCATTTTGTCAAATCCAACAAAAATCCTGTAATTCAGATACCCAGTTTGAGACAAGTCACCCTCAAAACTTCAGCTGCTTTGAGAAACAGAACAGAGAAAACAACGTGACCATAGAGAGTTGCAAAGAAGAAAAAAGAACACAACAGACTTTCATTGGACCTCTGAGGAAGAGCCATACATGCATTGACTGAAGACAGAATGGCAGGTGTCATGACAACAGAATGACCACACTGACAGCTTATTTGCAGTTCGTTGTTGTGCAATACAAAGAACTGGACAGGCTAGTATTAGCCGTGATGCTACATAGAAAAGCTGTGAGAAGGGGAAACTGCAGCTTTAGCCAAGCACAAAGGTAATTAAAATTAAGTGATTCAACTCTGAAGTGGTGAGGAAAGAAAAAATACCCACCACCAAATAGGTCAATCACACCTGAAGAATCCACCTTTGCTGGAGAGGCAGTGGGTAGAGGAGAGGGGGCTGCAAATGCATCCACTGCAGTAAGCATAGGATAAATAATATTTAGTATCAGCAAGGCAACAATGATAGCTAAATATTTCAAAGCCACGTGGGCTCCACCAGTTAGAACCACAGGGTCGGTAAATTCAGGTAACAGTCTTCAGAACTGCAAACAGAAAGCGATACGTTTCTCACACAGCAACTGAAAACCACAGTACTTTAAAGAAAACATTGTTAATTAAGAATTTTCTTATGCTTAGAGGAGGATTTACTCTCTCAACAACCACATCACTTACTCAACTTCAGTGTCAGCCACTTCATGGTTCGCATCTTCAGCAGCTGCTAATCTTGTGACCAAAGTGTCAACAAACCCACAACTTAGTATTTCAGCTTAAAGACGTAAATTGGCAGTAAGTCTTATTTTTTTTACTCGAGGAAAAAAACCCCTGTAGGACGGCCTGTGAAGACAAGCACTCACCAGATAAGAGATCAGCAGTGAGAGAACTCTCAGGCACAGGAGACGCTCCATGCGGCGGAGATGAAAAAGCATCTTCCAGAAATGAAAGAAAAAACGAGAAGTAAGTATCATTCAAGTCAGTTTACACCATTACACAGCATCAAAGCAGCAGAGTACTGGAAGAATTCTCTCTTTACCTGTACCAAAGAGATCTATGCTAGGAGTAGCATCTGGTTTAGGTGCTGCAGGTACATCAGGAACAGACTCAAATAAATCTAAGGCCAAGAACATAACACGTCTTTAACTCATCTTTGAAAGGCGGGACCGAAAGCAGAACTTTCAAGTTTTGCACATTGTATTTAGAGTTAATAGGCTCTCTGGTTTGAAAGCCTAGCACACAGCACGCATGCAACAATGATTTGTTTGTTCTGTGCTCCTGACAGATCAATCCACCAGAATCCAAGAGTTAAAAACAAAATTACCACCAAAGATATCTAGAGCAGGAGGAGCGGAGGTGGTGGCGGTAGCAGAAGTGGTGGCAGCAGTGGGAGGGGGA